TGCTCATTATTAAATAATGCTTTACTACTTGCTTAAGAAAAGAAGGGAGAAGACAGAATAACCCTTACCCACCATCAGTCGAAGTGGAGAAAAAGAGCTGGACCATGTGTTTTACTCTGGTAGCTAACAAGTTTTGCCACTTTCCTTCAGGGTCTCTGTTCAGCTTTACTTCATAGCAACCACCATCCCAGCAGGCTTTTTTAAATCCATTAATGTTTTCTTTTGATTGCATTTTAATTTTTGATTATGAATTGGAAAGATCGTCACACTTTTCATTTAGTATGTTTTTGTTTAAATGGCTGTTTCTTTAATTAGGAATATTGTCTTTACCACTCAGCTCTCCAACTTACTGCACCAGTAATCTTTCGAAAAACTGATGTCAGGGTTACTGAAATGAATAGCTCTGAAGTACTGCCGTAGGGTTTGGCGTAGCAGCAGTTTTTGAAAGGAAGCAGCATGCTTCACTGGCTGTGGATGTTCTGCAAGCAGCTGTGGAGCACTGTGTGAGAAGAGAAGGTGCTGGGGTGATCTGGGAGACCTTTTCTGTGCAGTCCCTCCCCTTCCCCTTTCTCCTCCCCCAAAATGTGTGCGCACCCAGGAAGCTCTGCCTGTAGATGTCTCTTGTGAAATGCTTTGCCTAGAGTAAAGGTTTGAAGAACCTCTACCAAGTAAAATGGATACTTTAAAGATTTTGGTGAAGCTTAAAAGAGGTTCTGAAATTCCATGGAAAACATCTCTGCAATAAGGATAACAATGTTTTATGCCAAGAAATGTGCTTGTGTGTGTTAGTATGTGGTTTGTATTATTGTAGCTTCCCTCAAGATAATCTCAAAATGAGTTGATCTTTATTTCACGGATGCATCTTGCACTTAAAATACTTATTTAATCTTTGCAGGCTTGGTAAAGTGAGCTTGTTTGAATGCTTTTAACTTACATTTTCTTTATCACACTGTCATTCTTCCAAGAACACTTCTCTTCATCTTCAGTTTAAACGGGTAGGATTCCTTTTATGTGAGGCAAAAGGTGTCAGTTGACAAATTACACGTTTTACTGAATTGATTGCAATTGGGATACTTCTTGTTTGGATTAACAGCTTATTTTTGTTTGTGGTTCTTCATTTTAAAACAGTTCCTGTGTGTCATTGCGTTTCATCACTTAGAATATGCAGCCTAACACTATGAGTTCTCATTATTTTTCTATGAAAAGCCAGATGTTTGAAAGCCTGATTTAATAAGCAGTATGCTCACTGTACCAGCTTCTGATATGACTCAAGGTCATGACTGGAAAACAACTTGAGTGCTTTTGGTTTTGCATGACTCTACTAAGCCTACTAGTCAGGGTGAGAAAGAAAAAGTTTCCATATCCTTGACAACTGAGACAACTAACAAGACCAATAAATACCAGTACACTGCTAGGTTCTCTTCTGGGCAGCTGCTCTGTCTTGCCAGCTGTCCTAAGATCCTGCATGTCACGAATCTTCCTGCCTCTGTTGGTGAGAGTAGCTGGCTCGTCTGCACTCTTAAACACTCAGTCTCTCCATTTGCATTTGCCTGCCTACCTTCCTGCTAGGAAATAGCTTTAAATCCAGGATTTCTGCAATTCATACCTAATTTCAGAGTGATGTGGCAGTATCCTCCATGTGGAACAACCTTCTGTGCTGTTTTCATCAGTGGCTTGAGCAGACAGATTAGGGCCACCGTGTTCTCACACTTGATGCTGTTTGTTCTCCCTTGAATGTGTTTCAGCATCCTGAGTTCTTGTATTCTAGTACCTGTCCACGTCATTTCTCTAAAGAATCTGCAGTGAGCTTATGCTGTCACATTACTGTAGTGTGGAACAAAAGCATAGTGAATGACGATCTGTCATTCATTAGATCTGTCATTCATTACATGAAGATGTACCCCGAATATGGATTAACTCGGGATAAAGGCTGAAATGAATAAATATATCTGCTTGTTTTCCTTGGAGTCTGTCTTTCCTGCTACATTTTTAAAATGCCCTACCTAAGAAATCAGTCTCAACCTTAGATCTTTTGCACCATCTCTTATCAAATAATGGCTCCATGGGAGACAGATTCTTAAGAACTTCAGTTCCTCCTCACATTTCTTACATGGCAGAAGATAATCCACGTTGATACGATGATAAATTCATTCTCATTTTCCTCTTTTAGGAGCACTAAGGTCTGTTGTTGCAAGATCTCTCTGGGAGATCTGCACTGGAAAAAATACAGCCTTAGTGCTGTGCCAGGCTTGCTTTTTGTTTGTTTGTTTTTGTTATTGCTGAGAAACTATCGGTATGGCTTCCCAGTTACCTCCAAAAAATACTCCATGGATTATATAATGTCTGCAGGTGGCTGTGTGGCATACCGGACATGCATTTTCCCTTGAAGACATGTGAAATCTCATTCTCTTACTATAAAGTCGATTAACTTGGGAGTAAACTTGTCACCTAGCACTGCCTGAGATCACTTAAGGCACTAAGGAATTGTTGTCTGTATTTGAAGACAGATGCTGTGAAAATCAAGAGTAAGATTTCAAACTTCTTTACATTAGAATTGCAGAAGAACAAAAAAGGACAAATTGCAAGCATAAATGTTCTGAACAGAAATTTTCCCCCAGTTGTTCTCCTGTCACACACTTTTTTGGTCCCTAGAATGTGCTTTTACGTAGGAAGGAAGAATATTAAAAATTTTGATGACTTTGTCATATATAAACAGATTTAGCTTGGTGACTCGGTCCTCCTGACTTCCAGCAGAGGAAGGCTTACTGAAAAAAACCCTAATTGACTGAAAAGCTTCTTTCTTTGGCGTGCCTCTTAAATATTTGAAACTCAGAGAAGTCAGACCATCCTGTCTGTCAGCCTTTCTATGATATACTCAGAAATTTAGAACTCTCACGATAGAGAATAGGGATGAATGTTCTTTCACTTTCGAGTTATACGAGTTATATGCAACTCAAGTTGCGCCAGGGGAGGTTTAGATTGGACGTGAGGAAAAATTTCTTTACTGAAAGAGTGGTTAAACATTGGAACAGGCTGCCCAGGGAAGTGGTTGAGTCCCCATCCCTGGAGGTATTTAAAAGACGGGTAGATGAGGCGCTTAGGGACATGGTTTAGTGGGCATGGTGGTGTTGGGTTGACGGTTGGACTCGATGGTCTTAGAGGTCTTCTCCAACCTTAATGATTCTACGATTCTATGATGTGAGTTGATACCAGAAGGTGTTAATGTGCTTTTTTTTTTATTTGTTGGGGTGTGTGGTGGGTGGGTTTGTTTGGTTGGTTTTTTAAGAAATTGAGTGAATTTTACTTTCAGAAGGTTAAAAACTCATAGTAGTATGTGAAACAAAATATAACGTAGCAAAACTTTGAGGTCTTTTTCAGCTGTTTCTGCCAGTGGCTTGCATTCCTACCAAGTACTCTGGGATCTCTCCTGAAGAAAGACCACTATTTATTTTGTAAACTCAGTGTAGTTTGGTATAAACAAATCTTCACAAATGTTTAAGATACATTGAGAATTTTCAAAAGATTGGAAAGTGATCTAATGGATCAAACTGAAAATTAAAATTTCGACATTTCATGTACATTTGTTTGATCCAGTCTTTTTGCTTGTTGGCAGGCCGTTAAACTGGCAGGGGGTTATAGTGGTGCAGTTCTGCAGGGTGATGGCCCTGCCAATTCTAGGCAGAGAGACTTAATTTCTTTGGTTATGAGTTGATGTCATTGAGAGTTGCAGGGAAAGAAGCATAGCCTCTGATTTAAAACTGAAATGGAGATGGAGCCTTTCATCATGCTGCACCCTTAGGGGGTCAGAATTTGAAGCTGATGACTAGCAATATACCAACATCACAGTTATATCGTAATTCTGAATGCCTCAAAATCAAAGGTGCTGATGCTATTGTAATACTCCGCAAGATACCCACCTTGTGCTTTGGCTAGGCCTGCTCTCTGTTGTCCAGCTCCGCTGTGCCTCTGCTCCCATCCCTGAGTCTGCTGTAGCCTTCGTACAGCCTTTGCCCTCCAGCTGTGGGGAGAGAGAGGGATGGAGGAGGGACATCTGTCTGTCTGTCTGTGTCTGAAAGGAGTAGACCAGAGCACTGTGGAATGGGTAGAAGTTACGGGCCTGGGGAACAGGGTGAAGGAGGCTGGCTGCTGTGACTGGACATGCAGTACGCCAAGGAGAAGAATCATCTCACGACTGCCTTGCATGTATAATAATAAGTAGAATAAGTAGATGCTGCCACTTCCAGCTTCACAAAAGCCTGCTGCCTTGTTAAAAATTGTTAAAAAACAATTAATAATGCCATGACACTTGTTGGAATATTATGATTTTATTATCTATCTGTATATCATGTCAATGTAATGGTATTGCTATTCATGACTGGAATTCATATTTCCTGATGAATGCTCCTGCTTAGTGGGTGTGAAAGTGAATGCCTTTTTTATAAACAGATTTGACCTCTCTATAATCTTTCTCTGACATATACCTTTAGCCAGAAAGTTGCCTTTTCTCTCACTTGCGGATATTAAGATGTTCCAGCAGCTACAGTATGCCCTGGGGTAGCAGTAGTGAAAGGGCACTAAAAGGACAAGGAAGTAGGGAGAACAGGACCAATATGAAAGAGGCATTTGTAAAAGACAGTCAAAACGGGAAAAGGGAACAGAGTAAAAAGGGCACACAGGAAAAAAAACATTTTCTAAGGAATGAGAAGGAGGAATTAGCTATCACTTAATTACCAGAATTTTGCCAGTAATCAGAAGGCACTTCGATTTGAAATTTTTTATTTGAAAGTGTTTGTGTACATGTGCATGTGTTTAAAAGGAGAATCTTTTCATGTTGGACCAAGATATCCAACTTTTCGCTTTTATTTGGATATCAATTTTAGGAATGCATGTGTGTATGTAGAGTACTGACCAAGTTCTTATAAATCGTTTTTTCAGTAAAAATTTTAAGCAAGAGCACCAATTGTAGATGTTTACTATTAAAACTTTCTTTGTAGGTTATTGCACTTAAGAATGAACATTGAAGACAAGCTGGGAGGATTATTTCTTAAATGTGGTGGCATAGACCAAATGCAGTCATCCAGGGCTATGGTAGGGATGGGTGCAGTATCTGACCAGTCTGGAGTATCGGGAGAACGGCAAGAGGCAGTGCTTCAGGATCGGACTATGGCGCACCAAGAAATTCTTGCAACAGATGAAGTGTTACAGGAAAGTGAACTTCGACAGCAAGAGATGATTTCACATGATGAACTCATGGTCCATGAGGAGACGGTAAAAAATGATGATGACATGGATACGCAAGATAGACTTCCTCAAGGGCTGCAGTATGCTGTTAATGTCCCTGTAAGCAATTTCTTTGTGAAATATTGGAGAAATTACTAGGAAGCTTGATCTGGTAGTCTAATCCTACTCTGGCAAGAATCTATTAATTGCTTGTTTAGATTTTGATTATCAAAATATTTATGAATGGATGCTATTTATGAAAATGTCATTTGCCTCTGGCTGTGGATAAATTTTGCCAATTAAGTATAATCTTTAAGTATCTGTTTTATAAATATTCTATAAGCAAGCTGTTACCATAGAAGTAATGTGTTAAAATGTGCTCTTTTAAAAATATTTAATGTTCGAGGGTAACTACAAACCAGAATAAATAGCGTTATTAAAAGGTGCATACTGTTTATGCTGTTCATAGTACTATTTAGTTTCTTTTGCTATAGGAAGCATCTTGTATGTTTTCAAAGTATGTGGACGCTTCGCAGTTGCATTCACACTGCAGGTTGGACTGTGACACTTCATACATGACCATAAATATGCCCCTCCTCGATATCTCATAGAAGGTGTATCTCAGCTTTCCCAGAGAGAATATAGATGACTTCCTTTTTGAAAACAGAGCATCTGTCTGTAATGCAGCACATCATCACTGTTACCCTTCAAACATAAAGGATAATTACCAGGACTTTAAAAGCAGATAGCCTTATACACGAAGAATAATCTTTAGAAAGGTAGCATTGTTAAAACACTACTCTGTTAGCTGTAGATCAGGTGATTCAGGCATTAGAAAAATGTAAGAGTATCATGCTCTTTATTAAAGTTTACCTTAGATTATTTTTTGGAAAAAACTTCATTAGCACTATTCTTGTTTTCTTAAAAAATACTTCTGTCTTAAATATATAATAAACTATTCCGTTAAATCTTGCATTGACAACACACGGACTAAAGTAAAATAGGTATGAAAAACTGAATGGTTTTACAGATGGAAGTGATTTTAATACAAGAACTGATCTCAAAATCACCATAGGTCAGAAGGAGAAAAGACTTTGGGAGATGAATGAAAAGATACATCAAAATGTCACTGTAGAAATTAACTATGCCCTTTTTATTTAAGATACTTATTATTCCTTTCACTTAAATTTCTGAAAGAATGAAGCCACAAGATAATTCCCTTAGAAAAAGGTTTTCTGTTTCAGCAGTTTGTCATCTTCTAAAATTGAAAAATTGCTTTTCTGTAGTGAGAACCTTACCTGAAACTGGCACTTGGTATCTTAACAGATCAGTGTAAAGCAAGAAATTACCTTTACTGATGCATCTGAACAACAGAAACGAGACAAAAAACAAATACGAGAGCCAGTAGATTTGCAGAAAAAGAAGAAAAGAAAACAGCGTTCACCAGCAAAAGTAAGACATTGATTTGGCAAAACCAAGATTAAAAGAACCTGAAGATTTGGTTGACTATGACTAATTTCATTAGCATTTGAAGTAGTTAGGCTGGAAATTGTTTGTTTGCTCAGTAAAGATGCAGTTCTGAAGTTCACCAGAGACCCAAAACAAAAACTGATATAACAGTGTTTTTCTTTGAACTCCTTTTAGCAACATGAACCCTTGACATATTTTAACATCTGTCTCCAGGCAGTTCTCTCTCCAAATATTTTTTTTTAAATTATGAGTCAGTAGCTTTGTAGACAATTTATAAATCATTACTCTGTATCTATCTAATAATAGTTGTGCTTTTCTGTAAGCCTGATAATTTTATATGCTTCATGCATAGTAGTGAAAAGTTTTTAAAAAGAAATCTAAAACGATAGTTTTGAAAATTCTAAAAAGTTTACTAATATATATAAAATAATTTACCAGTAGGGAATATTCCTGTGGTCATAATCATCTTCATATATGTATTTATTTATATCAAAAGATTCTTACCATAGCTGCTGGTTTGTTACTTCAAAATTTGTTTTGTAGATCCATTCATGAAGAGTATGTATCCCTGTATGTCTGAAAACAATTTTCTTCTATTGAGACGCACTTCAGATAAATCCAGAATCATTTCACCTCATGAGGTAGCAGTGTTATATCTTCTAGTAATTCCCCAAATCAGTATTAATCTTCAGACTTAAAACAGAACATATACAGGCTGCTCTGATAGGCAAAACTCAGTTATACGTGATCACACAGCAGCATTAAAATAAGGCTACTCTGAAATCAACCCAGACTGTGTATACATTGAAGGAAAACTCACCCTAACACCAAGAAAAACTCCAAAACCTCCTTTTGTTGGCCTGGGAGTGGGACCCCTCAGTCCTCCTCAAAGCACTGTCAAATTAGGTTGCACCTGTAGTATTCTTAGAAAGTTGAGAAATTGTTTCAGATTGGGTGCGGAAGCAAGTTCCAAATCCTGTGCATCAAGATACTTCTCCCTTTGATAGGAAAAGGAGATCTAGGTTGAGTACCTCCACAGATCACTTCCATGGAAACATGGCAAGGCAGTAGAGGCATGTGTCCCTCTTTCTACAGACGTGTACTTGCATGCTTCCTTTTTATCTCCCAATCTGTCAGTGTTAGTCTTTGACATGACAAAAGATTGAAAAATGATCAGGAGAATCGCTAAACAGGTTCTTTCGCAGTCTCTCTTCCCCTTTTTTTCAAACTTGTCAGAGTAGAAAGGCTGAAAGAAGTTGAAGGACTGACATAGGTGAGAGCCTACAGCAGTTTAAGTTAGTATTCCCAGAGTAATGTGGTTGATTTTCCATCCAAACAGCAGCTGGGACTTTTACAAATGGAAGTCAATTAACATACCGAAACATTTTAAATTTTATTTTATATTAACGTAGTCATCATATAAATAAAAAGTCAATAGCTTTTATGAATCCTGTCTACTTTTCCCTCTTCCATGCACACAAACACACGTGCACGCGCATACACACACGCACGCACACACGCACGCACAAACTTTTTGTTGCTTTTATTAGGAAAACTGCACTGACAAAGTTAACTTTCTTCATTTAAGAGGTGGTACAATGAATGGATGCAGTAGAACAGCCCAGGTTCAGGATAACCGTGAAATTAAGTGTATTTTCTGCACAATTATTTTAAAATTTCAATATTCTATATGAAAAACATTTCATAACATGTATTTAAATTTATTTTAAATAACCAGTCAGTGTTTCATTAGCTGTATGTTGTTACAGAACAGAATTTTTATAATTGTCTGTATCTGTGACTTACTGGAGCTGTAACGTACCAATCTTCCAAACGTATGAATGTGCTTGTCCTTCAGAGTGAATGCACAAGAATTTGTTAGCTCGAGACTTTCACTCTTGCTGAGTTTTGATGCAGCAGAATTAAAAATTGTTTAAGTAGATCCTACAGTATTTGCTACTATTGCATAGATAACTATTTCAGTTATTGACTCTCTCTTTCTCATCACTGTCATTATCATAAAACCTGAAACATTGTAGCTAATCAAGTTGCAGATGTGTTTCCCCAGCAGACTTTTATTTTTTGTTAATAACAAGGGACTAAACTGTTTTACTTAAGGTTACTTAAGCTCTTCTTTATAGTTCTGTTTCCAGTTAAGTAAGACTTTTGGAAATGTAATTTGTTTACTGGATTTCTTACTCTCTTGCCAGAGATAGTAGAGAGTTTGGGGTTTGGTGGGGTTTCGGGGTATTTTTTTTTTTGACAAATTAGAGAAAACCTGTGATGAGCTTTATTGAATAAGGTAGATACGGTGCAATTTTTTTCATTTAAGTTTTTTCAACTTTATAAGAAAGTAGCGGCTTGCTTTGACAGCAAAGCAATTGCGTGTGGCAAGTTGAATTCGTCAAAGAGATGCTCTAATATGTATATTGAGTGAGCAATATTTTATTGAGGGGAAAACTTGAAAGGGGAGAAGAATAATACTATTTTCTTGGTTGTTTGGCTTTGGGGTTTTGGTTTTTAAAATACAATTTTGTCACCAAGACTCTTGGTATTATGTAGATATAGATAATTTGTATGACTATCCTGGATAAGTTTTAATGCCTTTTAGCAAACATTAACAATCTTGGTTTGAAAAAAGACTATAACTTTTCACTTTTGCTTTAAAATATGATTATCCATGGTTCAGTGCCCAGAGGTGGTTTGGTTACTTTGCATCCTTTCCAACAGACGGACAAAGTAAACAGTAGCATATAAAGTGACTCAGCTGTGAATAGGGGAGCTCTAAGCTGATTTTCCATGAGCTGCTTTTGTCTCCGTCCTGTAGAAATCTCTCTTAATACACAACGAGACACAAGTTGGATTGGACTGCAATTGGAAATGTATACTAAAAGCCTAACACATAGCTTTGTAGAAATTAGCATTGTTTTACCTGAAATATTTAAATTTTCTGCATCGAAAAAATTAATGTGGTTTTTTTTTTTGTAGTTAATAAGACATCTTTAGAGGGTAGTGTGAGAACAAATTTTACTCTTTTTAAAATAGATCCTTACAATAAATGAGGATGGATCACTTGGTCTGAAAACCCACAAATCTCATGTTTGTGAGCATTGCAATGCTGCCTTTAGAACCAACTACCATTTACAGAGACATGTCTTCATTCATACAGGTACTGCTTGACTTCAAATTTGTCTTTTCTACTATATAAAGAGTTGTTTACTTATGTTAAAAATGTTTTCAGCTCTATGCGAATTTCAGTTTTAAGAGTGTAGCTAACTTGGCATCTAAGCTTAGAGATTCCATGCACCAAAGTGTCAAAAGAATACCAGAAAAAAAAAAAAAAATCAACATATGTTTAATAAACTGAAGACCTAGCTGTTTACAAGGTTTCTTTTCTTTCTTTATCAGAAAGTAATGGGTTGACTTGTAGCCTAAGTGCCAAAATTGACCCCTTTGTAAAATGTGCTCCGGCTGCTTATTTGCCTGATGAGGTATCTCTCTGGTTCGGAGAAGTGAAAAAGGTACTTACTATTATAATAGCTTGCCAGTATCCTGAATGCAGTCTTATGCCAGCATCGTGATTGATCTTGTTGATGAGGAAATTACAGCCATTTCGGATCACTCTTCTGTGCTAGTCTTAATGTGACTCTTAGGCTCGTGGAAAGAATTCTGCAGTTCATATACTTAGTAAGGCTAATGTTTTTTGGTATTAGAGTATTTTTGGAATTCGCTCAGATGCTGGTTTTTTTAATAGACATTTTAATATTCCTCAAAAGTAGTTATCAGAAACAACAGTGTGTAGTTATTAACTTATGGATGTGGAATTATATTGTTCAAGGTGAAAAACCATTTCAGTGCAGTCAGTGCGACATGCGTTTCATACAGAAGTACCTGCTACAGAGGCATGAGAAGATTCATACTGGTGAGTATAGTGCCTTGAGTATCTTTACTGGCGTGCTTAAAAACTGTTTCCCCACTCAGGCAAGGTTTCTGGTAATAAGTATGCAGCCTAAAACCCTGTTGTAGTTTGTCTTAACTTAACAGATATTATAAAACTTTAAAAAGCAAATTAGTTTTGTGCTTTCAACTTGCTCCACTTTTCTTTGGCTGTAAAGTGAGTATAAAATCTAGTAAGCAAATCTGAAAGTAGTATTCTATAAATAACCCCAGAGTAGCAAATCCTGAAGTTTGTGCATTCATAAAAGTCAAGGTTTGTTAAGCAGTTCTATCTTTTGTTGTATCAAATTAATTCAGACAACGGGGACTTCCAAATTACATTTCAGTAGATTTATCTGTCTATTTGTTTATTTATTTATTTTGGAATTTGATGGAAAAGTGCCAGGACTAAAATGGCCAAAATGCCTAACCCCAAAGGTATTGGTATCAGCTTTACTTCGCACTTTTTTTTTTCTTTTTTGATAGTCAGAACTGTTCTAAAAATAAGAGCCTTAGTTTAAAAATACGCAATATAGGTCAAATAAGGCCCGAAGTTTTAAGCCAAAGAGAGTTAAAGTTTGTACATGTTTATTTTTTTATCTTCTTGCACCGCACAAAACCACATTCTTTAACAGGTTTGGCTTCATTGGGTTTTTGGCATTTTGGTGCATGGCCTTTCATTCCCTCTTTAAATATTTTGTAATATGGTCCCTCTGGACTAGATGCCAATTTCTCAGCCTCTTTTTCAGAAAAGCAGAGCTGGTGAATGTGCACAGTGTTTCTTGGCTGTAGCATTTAAATGGATATGAAAGCTACTAACACGCAGTGCAGTGTGTGCGTGTGTAAGAGTTGAGAGGGAGAAAAAACTCTGCAAAATGAGTTTTCAGAGCAGTGTACAGGGAGTTACATGCACAAATGCCCTGTTGTTTATGGGATTTTTGTATCCTAGGTTGCCATGAGTCCAGACTAAGTAGGTTTCCTTCAGCCAGTCAGCCACAGAAGAGTCCTCCATTCTTCTGTCTAGTGTCTTTGTTCTGCTCCTAGTCTTTCCTCTGGCTCTGAATTGGTGAACCATGCTGCCTTCACTTTGTGTAGATATTATTCTTGAAAAGAATGCTCATTCACTCTCTTCCGTCTATCTGCCCATCCCACCCCCCCAAAAAAAGGCAAAAATTTAAGTGCAGTCTTCATGTTTTTCAGAAGATTTTTTTTTTTTATTTTTAATGAGGATTATTCCCTGTATGTGGCTTTGAAAATGAGAGTCTGGGCAATATAGTTAATTAACACTTGACTGCAAATATTTTATAAATGGATGTAATTATCTTTTTAAATTCAACTTTTAGCTCTAATGAGAATTCTGTGTTGACTGTAAGCTTTGGAGGGAGGGTGTGGTGGTGGTGGTGGGGTTGCAGGTTTTTTTGCCAGCTCTTACATATACTACTCTTTGTTTAGCAGAGAATAAGCTGCCATTTAACAAATTAACCATATTGTTATCTGACTTTTTAGATAACTGTTTTCCTCCTTTCCTCAGCATCCTGAGGTATAGTTTGGTTGTTTCTCAGAAAATTGAAGATGGTGATTGTGTTTAAATTGTTGAATTATGGGTGTTTTCCTAGGTGACAACTAGTAGCTGGTTAGGAGAAAACATGTAAGACCCAGCTTCCAGGAGTGGAAAAAGCTTTCTTGAAGTCCATTTAGTTAGCAAGTATTTGCCTACTGCTTAATTTTTGAATTAGCCCAGTTACAGTATAGCTAATTAGCATTCTACGTACCTGTCTGGGCTTTCACTTCTATATGACAGTATTCACTACTGGGCCTTAGCTGTTTGTGTAGCATTACTCTGTTGTTCAGGACTGCGTAATTGAACCCATCCAGAAAAGCTGAATTTTCAGCTTGCTTCTCTCACCAGAAGGTGAGCAGTGGGTCTGTGTTTCACTTTGATGGAAGTAAAGGAAAGCTCTCTTTGTATTATTCATACTCTTTTAAGAAATAGTCCTTATAAATTCAATATTGTATTTTTTTCTTTTTATTTTGCATCTTTATCTCTCTGAATGACCACTTTTAGCACCAGCTTTTGTACAGTGTTCAAAACACTGATGAAGAACAGGATGTTTCTTACTCTTTAAAAGATGTTTATCAAATTTTCCTGTTTCTTTTAAGCCAACTGAAGACAGTGGTAACACTTAGAAGCCCCATTTTATGCCTGTTACAAGCCCTGAATTTACAGGTGCTCCAGCGAGTTCCAGTGTGATTTGAATTCGGTTCTCTGAACCACTCCTTCAAATGAAATGTTATGAGAGAGTTAGGAAGCAATCAATGAACAGCCTTATTCTGTGTAAATAATTAAATAGTTGCATCTAAAAGCAGACATTGCATTAATACAAAATTCACTTACTAGAAATAATTGTATGTAGAGGAGGGCAGCAGTGCTAGAACGCTGCTGCTAAACTTGTCATTAATGGTACAGAAAATCACCATTTCAATTGTAAGAGAGGGAAGAGTCATTGGTACACAAATATTTTCATATTTTGAGTTTATTAGGCTCACGAAGATGCTGAATGGTTTTTTGGTTGGTTCCCCCCCAAATATGTCTGCTTTCTTTTTGCTTAGGGATGTTTCTATACACCATACCCACTCGTGCATTCATGTGTCCTAATTCTGTAACCCACCCTACTTTCCATTTTAAACACAAAAAATGAGATTACGTATTAAAAAAAATAAAGCAACATTGGGGTTAACAATTCAAGCGCCTTATTATTCAGTCATGCTGCTTTTTTATTGCCTTCCTTGGTATTTTATAATTTGTATTTTGTCTGTTTAGATTTTAAAATACCTGGGGGTTTATAATTGTTACAGCCTTCATACACATAGTATTTGTACTACACTTTATAAATAGTTCTATTGCTCAGTTTTAGTAGATTTCCAACGTAGACACAAAACATAGGCTGTTTCCGTAAATAATGCAGATTATTGTATTGTATTTTTAAATTTTTACTCTTTTTTTCTACGTCTGATTCTTTCCCACTCACCAAGACGTTTCAGAAAAATATGTCCTGGATTGTCCCTACATTAGCAATAAGTTATTATTAATGATCTCCTCCATTTGCAATAGATCCTGTTTGAAAAGTACAACAAGATTTCAGAAGGCATCTGAAGTTTCAGGCTTCTGCTAGGAAGAAATTATTACAGGAAGCATGTCTTCATATTAATTTTTAATCTTTTTCTAATATTATCTTCCTTATGAAGACTAAAGCAAGAATTAAGTACAGTATCAGTTTCACAAAGTGTTTCTTAATCTTACTTCCAGAGTGTTCTGGAATTCTATTGAACAAGACTATTTTCTGTGTTGTACTGAGTAATTCAAGGGCAGTGTCCCCAGACTTCTCTTCCTGTTGAGGCACGGCCAGCACTGCCTTCGTATGTACTCTCAAAGTCTTCAAAATAGCTGGTGGTGGTAGTACTCTACAACAAAAAACCTCAGAAGCCCTGTTTGGCCCTATTTAAGCCTTGAAAAGGGAACAGGTAGCTGGGAGAGTCTGCTGCCAGTAAATAGCCGTCTCAAGTAGGCAAATGCTAAGGAACTCTGTGACCATTCACTTACAGGTATAAGGCTGAAGGTAAGTGTATCAACGAAGCGTTCTGCATTCAAGACTTCTTGGGGTAGCGGGATAGCTCCTTAGAGGGCTCTTCAGAGCTAGAACAGGACTGAGCTGTCTTGCTGCTCTAACTTGGTTTGGCTTCTGTAAGGCTCAGGGTAGTTTTCATCCCAAACAGCTGCTCCTTTCTCTAAAAAAGTTTAAGATGTGAAAGCAAACTTCCAGACAATGTAAGGAGAGTTGTTCAAAGGGGCGACTTAAAAGAAACATGAAGTAGAATAGTGGAGCAAAGGGAAAGAAAACAGTAAGTAACAAGGATTAAGTAGTTGTCTTCAGGAACGGAAGGGTTCCCGTGTATTAAACTAGAACAACGAGACCTAAACCTCTTGCCTCATCTTCTTTAGAAGTGAAGACAGGGATTGGAATTTGATTCAGAAAGTCTCAACAGGCTTGGTGCAAGTAAAACACCGTATTTGTAAGGGTGCCTAACGAATAAAGAGAACATGAAGAATGAAACTGGAGTTTGAAAGTTAAGAAATAGGCCAGAGAGGAGGATTTGCTTATAGACAGTACTAGAGAGGATTATACGATAGGCGTTATAATTTATAAAGGGTGCTGAAAAAAGCAAAATTCTATGGTGATTATTAATAAGCAAGAAATGGTAAAAGTTAGTCTCTGACTAAATGTGAAAGAAGAGTTAGGATGCTGAGGTTGTGAGCCTGTAGAAAAAGAACTGATGGAAGCTGAGAGATCTTAGGAGAGGAGAGAATTTGGTTTAGGAGAGAATAAATTGGAATAATTTCATCCAAGAAAGGGATTGGCTGAGAAGCCACATGGAGAGGTAAGAATTAATAATTGGAAATAGGGCATAGGCTTACAAAGAGAGAAGTTTAGAAATTGCTTGGAATTAAAAAGGTTGAAACTCTGGGCATTAATGATCTGACTAGGAGCAAATGTGGGTGATACAGATACCTTCCATTCTAGTTTCTATAAATACTGGCATCTTATTTTAAGGTACCGTATTTCTATTTGTAGAAGGATGTGGCTAAATATCTCTATTCTAAATGGAAAATACACACTCTTAACAACATTTTAAATAATAAAATAAAATGTATTAACATTTTAATAATTAATTATTAGTAATAATAAAATTAGTTAATAAAATAATTTTCAAGAATAAAACTAGCTCAGAAAAATAGAAATAGTCTGCATATTTCTGGAAACAAAAGATAGACGGTTTATATCCCAAAAATCAGTATCCAGAACAAAGAGGATGTTGACAGATGCTGCCAAGACAATCCCTGATCTCTATGTCAGTGCAAAAGATATCATAGTGAATATTCAGGGGAAAGATTACTGTTGTTCAGGGTGAGTTCTGTTAAGTAATAGTGAGCTTTTGTAAAAGCAAACCTAACTTTTCAATGCACTTGGAATTTTTAGGTTTTGTCAGAGAAGCCTAGAAAATAAAAATATCAGAGGGAAGATGTAAGGCAAAAGTTAAAAGAAATATAAAGATAGAGTTACTACATGTTCTGAAAGGATCATTGCAGGGCTTCTTTGTGAGGAAAAATGAGGGGAGAACTGAAGATGTATTCAGGGCAATGAATATTGTCTGAACAAATATTTCATGAAAGTAAACAACAAACAAAACAGCCAAACAGAAAAACCTGTGAGTTTGCCAGCGTCAGTTCAGCTACAGAGGTTTCTTGTTTTCAGCTTAATTTTCAAAATAAAATATTTTTCAATTAATTAATTTTTAAAAACAAAAATAAAACAAATAAATTTGCGTTCCAACCAAAATTTTAGGATTTTTTTCAGAGCAGTTATTTCAATTCTAAATACAGATAAAGGAAAACAAATTATGGAAAATACAGAGTACCCTACAAAAAATTTAAATTAAAAGCTTGGAAATGCATAATTTTCTTCTAGAAGGGATTGGTTTGTGTTAAATGTGTTGGTGAGAGAATTGAGGTATTTTTATACAATCTTCTGCCCTAAAAAAAATTCTGTAGCAGCAGTTTAGGAAGGCTATCTTTGTAGTTCTTCATTTGTTAGGTTTAAGACAGATATCTGCACCTACATTAGAAAGAGGGGGAGAGAATCTAGTTTTAAGGGTTTTTAGTGTAAAAGTTTACAATAATTTTGAAGCATCAGCTACCGAGTCCTGGGAAAATAGTGATGTGAGCAAGCCCTATGTTATTTTTCAACAGCAACAGACTAAGACCTCTTCTTTATTACTTCTAGTAGAGAATGTAGTATTTGACCTGGTAATGTATGGAAGAACACCGATTTATTTTTTTAGATTAATATTGCTACGTGTTTTTTATCAGGTGAGAAGCCATTTCGTTGTGATGAATGTGGTATGAGGTTTATTCAGAAGTATCACATGGAAAGGCACAAAAGAACTCACAGCGGCGAGAAGCCTTACCAGTGTGAATATTGTTTGCAGGTAAGATGACTAAATGAAATCTTTCGCAATTAAAAAACAAAACACCAGTCAATTCCCAAGTAGAACAGATAGGACTTTCTCCAGGTGTTGTAGTCATGTGCATACTAATAAATGTATAAGGAATGTTTTTGCTGTTAAGGTGGGCAGTCTTGGTGCACAGGTGGAACAGAGTCACAACTGTCTGCACTTGATTTTATTGATTATATACTGTTGTTTGACACTTCATTAGAAGTTGGTAAAGTGGATGTATTGTCAAGTAAATTTGTTAGAATGAAAGGTTTCTTTTCTTTCTGCTAATATATTTATTTTCCTATAATAATAATAAACATCTTTTGCAGTATTTCTCCAGGACTGATCGTGTGCTGAAACATAAACGTATGTGCCATGAGAACCGCGACAAGAAACCGAACAGAAGTGCCACCAAAGTTGGCTTTTTGCCATCGGAGGAAGATTCTGGTTTCTCTACGCCTATGAAAGACAGCTCCTTGCCAAAGAAGAAAAGGCAGAAAACAGAGAAAACAAAATCTGGGGGTAAGGAAAGTACAGATAAATCAGAACAGAAGAAGGACAAAAATGACTATTTGCCTTTGTACTCTTCTAGTACTAAAGTAAAAGATGAATATATGGTAGCGGAATATGCTGTTGAGATGCCCCATTCTTCGGTCAGCGGGACACACTTAGAAGAAGCAAATTCTGGAGAAATACACCCACCTAAGCTCGTTCTCAAAAAAGTTAACAGCAAGAGGAGTCTGAAACAGCCACTTGAGCAAAGTCAAACCATTTCACCTTTATCCACATACGAAGACAACAAGGTTTCAAAGTATGCCTTTGAGCTTGTGGATAAGCAAAGTTTACTGGACTCTGAGGGTAATACTGACATTGATCAAGTTGACACGTTACAGGAAGGGCCCAGTAAACCTGTACACAGCAGCACTAATTATGATGATGCAATGCAATTTTTAAAGAAAAAGAGGTATCTACAAGCAGCTAGTAATAACAGTAGAGAATATGCCTTGAATGTAAGTACCATAGCGTCTCAACCTTCAGTAACACAGGCAGCTGTGGCCAGCGTCATTGATGAAACTGCTACAGCCTCAATATTAGACACACAAGCACTGAATGTTGAAATTAAAGGTAACCATGACAAAAATGTCATTCCAGATGAGGTACTGCAAACTCTGTTAGATCATTATTCACACAAGGCTAATGGACAACATGAGATATCTTTCAGTGTGGCTGACACTGAGGTGACCTCCAGTATATCAATCAATTCTTCTGAAGTATCTGAGGTCACCCAATCTGAGACAGTTGGAACAAGCTCTCAAGCTTCCTCATCAGATAAAGCTAGTATGTTACAAGAATATTCAAAGTTTTTACAACAAGCTTTGGACAGAACTAGCCAAAATGATGCCTATTTGAACAACCCGAGCCTTAATTTTGTGACTGATAACCAGACTCTTACAACCCAGCCAGCATTTCCTTCCATGGAGAAGGTCTACACGTCTATACCCGTCAATAGCTTTCGATCGGGAATGAACTCTCCATTAAGAACAACTCCAGACAAGTCTCATTTTGGACTAATGGTTGGCGATTCGCAGCACCCTTTTCCCTTTTCAGGTGATGAGGCAAATCATTCTTCTTCCTCCTCTACACAGGACTTCTTGGATCAAGTAACTTCTCAGAAGAAAGCAGAGGCACAGCCTGTTCATCAAGCATATCAAATTAGCTCCTTTGAGCAGCCCTTTAGAGCTCAGTACCATGGGGCAAGAGCTGGAATATCATCTCAGTTTAGCACTGCCAATGGACAGGTGAACCTTCGGGGACCAGGGACAAGTGCTGATTTCCCAGAATTTCCCTTGGTGAATGTAAATGATAGCAGAGCTGGGATGACTTCTTCACCTGATGCCACAACGGGCCAGACTTTTGGCTAAGAAATCTTTGTAAATAATACTGGCACTTTAGAACACATTTGTCAAAAGGGGGTTGCTCTGTATAAGATGGAGTTCTGTACAGCTTTTAAGAGCGCTATGTTAAAACAAAAGTAAGCTGATATTAGCAAGACCAATAACTGCTTCTTTTTTTTTTCTTTTTTTTTTTTTGGTTAGTCACCAGTCATTGAACTGCCTGATGTTGGTGCCCCTATCAAAGGCAGTTTATTATTCACTTGTTTGAATCCAGAAAATATTTTACCTTCTATGAAATTTAAAATAAACAAAATCCCCAGGTAAGACTTTCCCCCATGATTGTTTCCTTACTGGTTTCCTTGTATGCTTTGGGAGGACAGTTTATTGTCTGATGCTATTCATATTGTCATTTCTAAGCTTGTCAGCATAGTCATTGCTCTTCAGCAGGGAATCAACATGTACTAAACACACAGAATAAACAGTAAGTTTCAAAGTCAAGCAAATATGGCTTTAAAAAATGGCATTTTCTAGAAAAATAATCTTTCTTCCATCTCTCTCAAAAATAATTTTAGACCATGTGCCCTTTATTTCTGCTTTGCATTACCTTGAGTTGTGTTTGGAGGAAAAAATGAATTCTGATAGACTAACTCTACTATTTAAAAGTCTAATTAATTTAAAAATACTTTAAACACTTTTTAAAGCGAAATGCCTAACTGCTAAAGCCTTTACTTCATTCCTGAAGTAATGTGTATTTCTTTGTACAGCTGAATCTAGATGTAACTTTTTAATGACTTTTTCATACGCAGATATCAAGATTTTGAAGTTTTAGTTAAAATACTATGTAGATGACATTCCCAATTGCATAATGCTTACACAAACTGTGTATTCCAAGATTTAAAAGCTTAATTGTACCTTACCCTACATACTCACAATGATTAACATAGAGCACTTAGTCAACTTGATAGTTTTTGATTTCTCAAAAAATAAAAACATTTTTAGATTTTTAGGTTTGATATGGTTGCATCATTTTAATCTCATACAGCTCCAATTACTCTTTTCAGTATACATTGAGATTGGGTATTCTTAGCTTCTGTAAAAACTGTTTTAATTCTCTGTCTAGGATTTTGACAATTCAGATCGTTAAATTTATTGAAGTATCCCCGAAAGCTGAAGAAGTGGGCATTCAAATTCCCTATCTTTTTAGTGTTTGCTTAGTGAAAGTCATTACAATTTTACCAACCAAAACCGCTGAATAATGCTAGTGGACAGGATTTCTTTTTCCAGCATAGGCGAGTGATCAGAAGTTTTTGTTGCGTTTCACAGTATAAATAAACTACAAAGTTTATTCCTGTGCCATGAATATGTTTTTTTGAATAGTACTTTGTCTTGAAGTATGCAGTATGGTACGATAAGTAGTTCTGTGTGCATTTTTAAGGTGGTAAGGTTTGAGTAGCATAACTATCGTGTAGTTTAAGTTAACAAGTTACAGATTTTTTGAACTGTATGTTCGTTCTATTGCACCTTCCCTAAAGGGACACTGTCTGGTAGTCTAAGGCAGTTTAAGCCTAATGTAGGCTGATTAACCAGGGAAAAACACACACACGTACACACCCCCACGTGTATATATATATATATATATAGGTATGTATGTATATGTTTTGTTGTTCGTTTGTTTGTTTGTTTGTTTTTTTAAATAGGGTTTCATACATCCTTTTACAGCACTATTGCTAGCTGGTATCTCTCAGATGAAGCCATCAGCTAGGAGAAAAGACTGTGTCTCAAGGGGCTAAAATATATCCTGTCTTTGAAGACAGGACTTGAGCAGGACGTACAACGGTTCCCACCTTTTCCCAAAGCAGTAGCAATATTTTTCTTAATTTTCATTACTAGGAAACTGATCCCACTCTGTCTCTTTTCCCTTACGGTATCACTATTACAGCACTAACTTCACGTGGTACACTTGAGGGAGAAAGTGCATTTGTTATCCATAGCTTGCTTCTTGTATTGACAAGAAATACAATTTACGTAAACTTCTTACTTGGTACTTTTGTATAAGGAAACAGGTTCTGTTTTGATTCATTGACCCTGTGTATAATATAGAAAGGTGTTTCAGCGTGCTATGACTTACCAGTAATTTTGTCTGAGTGTTTGGCCCTGAGTTAAGAAGAATGAGCATCAAGGGAGAATAGTAAATTCCTTATGGATTATTAATGATACATGTAAAAAAAAGTCTTTGAAAGAATGTTTTTAAACTGATTCATGTCTCTGTTTTTCTTCCTTTATGGTCAGTTTGGTTTTTTGACTTTCCATTCTAGTTTGCACAGACATACTACTTACGGCCCCTATATCCCAGGAAGCCACCTCTTGTAACGCATGTTTCGTTTTCCGTGTTTCATTTCCATGACATCCTAGCTTGTGCTGCCTGAATAATACTGTGTTGGCATCTTTGTTCTAATGTCCTGTTGTTGCAAGTAGGTGGCCATTAATAGTACTATTTGTTAAATACAACAAGCAGCAAAAGCCAAAATAAAATAAAAGGGCTAGATTTCTGCATTTCTCTGGCCCCGTAGGGAGGTAAGAGGAACAAAGCCTGCTTCTCCCGAAGGAGATTGACTCAGCTTTATTTTAAAAAGTTATTGCATTGATACTCTGCTGTGAGAAAGTGACTGAGGAGTAGAAGGGAGTAGCTCTCGCTCCATGCCATCTTCACACTTAGGAATCGCTGCTTGGGTGCGTGAGTGAGCAAGCTATTGTACGGAGTGAAGGAATTAGCTCTTCCCCGGAGCGAAGTGGGAATCAGATGAGGAACTGTTACTCCCTAGCAGCTCATTCCCCAGCCTGCTGCTGAGCCGTTACAGCTATACTCTGTGCCTTAGGACAGGTTGTGAAGTCCCCGTCTAGCCCACAGGGACTATCTCGTAGGGTTCCTCCACATGTACAATTAAAGCAGTGGTGTGAGTAGTTGATCTGCTGATGCTTGAAACTTTCTGTACTGGAGGAGTTAACCAAATATACTGCTATGATTTCCTGAGTACATGCCCTTTTATTCTGGAATAAGTGTGTATGTAGTTCTAGGAGGTTTAACTATGTAAAAAGCTCTTGCTTGTTTAATAATTACATTATTTAATAACATTTTCTACTGCTCGTGTTTTGCTGCTTTTAATCTGCTACAGGTGCACACTCTTCATTTTGATGTGGTCAGTGTTTTCATTTTTGTTAGTTTTCCGTGTATGTCTGGAAAAAAGCGACTTTGGTTTTCTGTTCTGTTCTTGTACAGATATTGTTCAGTTGGTCAGCATAAGGCTGGGGCGAGCATTTCTATTCCGCAGAGCTAACAACAGACATTCTTACTTAAAGGTCATGCAAGCACTGAATGTGTATGTGTGTGTAAGGTGGAATTTTTTGGGGATATCTCCTAGTGATAGAGCAGTGATGATTTTAAAAAAGAGGAAATTGATGACATTTATTACCAAACTATATATATACACACACGCGCGCGCGAAATACGTGTGTGTATATATACGCACATATTAATAGACCATATTTTGGTCCTAAATTACTTGACAGTGTCCCTTTTAGCATGAATCCTTTGATATGTTTTACCATTAATATAACAGACAGTGAAGGAATCAGCTTGTAATGGCATACTAATAGGCATTTACATTTTCTTCATTTGATTTGAGAATGGATTAATCATAAATTACAAGGTTTGGGGAGAAGGATTAACCTTGTATATCACTGTATGTTGGTTTATGAATAACAACATAAACAATTTAAATTGGATGATAAAAGAACTATGTTTATGATCTTGTGTCTCCTAGTGTTGTCTTTAGGAAAATTGTGTTTCAAGAAGAAAATAGGACAAGGAAGTATTCCTGTGAAATAACACTTGTATTATTTTTATATTGTACTTGTCAATTTTTAGGATGACGGGAGCTTTTCGTTGTTAATTGAGAAGTACAGTAAAATCTTGCTAATTCGCTGACCGCTAATCAGAGCATCCGATAGGTTTATACACCCCCCATGGTCTCTTCCCCACCTCTCTGCAATGGTCTAAAAAGTACTGTAGCGAGGTCTCATATTAGTAATACTGTACTACTTCACCCAAGTATACTACAGAATCTATACTAGTATACTGGGAGGTAGAAGAAGTCTTGAAAACTAAATTACAGTTGTCAAAATAAATGAACAAAGTACATTTTGTGATGTGACATCTTGCTTTTATTGCCTGCTTCTTCACTATTTTCAAAATTGTCATTTGTAAAGGGTTTCTAAGGCATTGCTGCGAATTATTGGGGTTCTACTGTCACTTTTGGAGTTTATTCTAAAGTATTCCTGTTCTCCTATGAAAACTTTCCACCTGGACAGATACATTATATTCCATGCTTGGTCAGAATATTTTTATAGTATTTGTATCCTATGTAGTAACTATTTGAAACGAACCAGAACATTTGGATGAATCCACTCTGAATTTTGCAGCATTGGATTACTTATGTATGTATATTTGCTAACTTTTCCTGGCTTTGAGAGCTTTGATTTTTGTTCTTCTTTGTTTGCTTGTTTAAATACCATTACAAATCGCAGGGAAAATCCTAATACTCCTGGGAATCCGTTTGGAAATTTTAACAGGCAGAAATATGCTTATGCAGTCGGTACCAGTACGCATGTGAACTTTCAAATTACATGGTTGGTACTGAAGCAAATGAATAATGTTACAGTTTCCTAGTGTTAAATGTTTTACTAAAATGAAGCCTTGTAACTTTGAAAGTTCATTCAACTTACGGTAATGCATGTTTATGTTAGGCATGTAATGCATTTAGCTGAAACTCACTTTGCAAAGGACAAGTACTAAGAAAGTATTACTGCTAATGAAAGACATGTCTTTAAGTTAAAATTTAAACTTTTGTTCAATTTCAATTTGCTTTGTGTCAGGGAAATAAATTTATAGTCGCTTTTGCTCTACTCAGCATATAAAACCTTACGTTTCCTTTTTGAAATTACATCTTTTGGTAGGAAACACAAACTGAGGCAAGCAAACATTTCTAAGAGTTGTTTCTTGCTTTCCTTAATCCAATGGATGGAAAGGTAATATTGTGTAAACAACATTGTTTTATTTTTTTATGCAATATCATGCTGTAAATATGATCTATCAAATAAGGATGTACCTATGATTGAATCTTTGATTCTGCACAGCTAGAGTTTATATATAAATATAAATGTGTCTTGACAATCAAGGACTTCTGTCAGTCTTCCTTTATGATGTTTCTTATTGTTATGCATTCCATTTGTTTGACTTGAGTATTTGTATTGTCTGTAAAGTATGTAATGTTTTTATAGCTTGTTTAAAAAACAAACAAAAAAGCCTGTAAATACATACGAACTGATCACAGTACCGCTCTGTTAGAAGGCATGTGATGATGTACTGTTTGTAAGCAATAATATACGACAGTGCTAACTTTACAAGTAGCACAAGGATAAGTTCCAAAAATACGTTTGGGAGTCAATAGCCTTGTTTGAGTTAATGAATATTCTTAATCATTTTTTATAAATAAATTCAAATGTCCTCCTGCTGGAGTATATAACGTTGTTTACACAGCACAATTTCAGTCACAGAGGGGACAGTCTTTAGATCTATGGCTTCATCCATACACACTTTTGAGTAAGAAATGAATGGCTTGGCTGCACTTCTGCAAGATGAGGAAGACTGCAAAAGTTGAATAGCTGTGTCTCTAAAGGATGAGAGATACTATTCTGCTTCTGTGCTGATTCCTGACAATTCCTCTACTTAAATTTGGAGTCTTTAAGTCCTGATATTGAACTGATGAGACTTGGGCCTCCCGTAGAAAGGAGTAGTTCTCTTCTTATTTCATATGCAGATAAACAGTGAACTTGTAAGTCACCTCTTCCTTTGAGTTGCGTATTTTTCAAATTATGAGCTATGAGATGATGAGATGGCTTTATTCCGATAAACTAAACATCAAACTTATAGTTTGAATCGAATAGGTAGACTGTACAGAGCAGCATAACTATTTGAACAGTCATCACTGCTTTAGAACCCCCCACCCCCAATTTATAAATGTATATGACCTACATTTTATAGAAAAAAATGTTTTTAAATGCTAGTCATTTATATAATATGTGCTTTGAAGGATTTGCTAGTCCACTTCTGTCACTTTTAGTACACTGGTATCTTTTATATGTAATGTATGCTTTTTATTATTATTATTATTATTATTATTATTATTATTGTAGTAAAGCATTTCAGTAGGAGGAATTTTGCAACAGTATGAGGGGTTGAAATTTTCATTGTCAGAAATGGATTATACTGGACTTTGTCTGTGTAGTCTTGTCTTTCTTTTAATGCTGTCTGGAAGGGAACTTGGTATTCAATAAAGCAAGTGACCTCCTTTTATTTTGAAGGCATACTATGTAGTGCTGAATTGGATCTGGAAATGCGATGAATTTGAAGACGGAGAAATTAGTACAAAACCTAGTGTACAGAAGAAATTGTGTTACGAAAAACCTGATGATATATATAGTGGAACACTGTTACAGTGCATTTTCTGATATAGTGTTATTTTCCTGAAGTCCATATGCCTTCTTTGTAT